TGGGAGTGATGAGAGGGAGTTGGTGTCAAGTTTGCAGCGGTTAAGTTTGGAGCTGTCACCCTGGAATCACAGTTGCTCCGAAATGAAAGGCTAGGGTTTTCGGCTGGGAAGTTTAAGTTATCTCGGAAGGCATGTCTTTACATGGGAGACATTCCCTCCCCCCCAACCCCCTTGCTGGATTCCGGAAGGTTATGAAACAGATCCCCGCACCCCACGCCCGCCGGCTCCGGCTCCCGGATCCCGGCAGCCCCCCAGGTGGGCGCGGACGCGGCGCAGACGCTGGAGTAGTCCCCGGAATGTGGCGCAGCCGGGCCCCTGAGCGCCTGCACTCTGCGTGCGGGGGACCTGCCGGCCCGCCAGGGAAACTTCACTCCCCGCGGGCGGCGTTTGTCTGGTTTATGGTTCTAGTGAGCGCTGCAGCCTTCTCTAGGAGTGAAACCTCCACTAAGCACGCGTCTTCTTTCTTGACCAGATAGGGAAGAAAAAGGGGGAAAAAAGGTTTTGTTTTGTTTTGGTTTTTTTTTTTTTCTTTTTAAAAATAAGACTGCCAGGAATAATTACCGAGATAATGCCCAGTCGTTAAACTCAGAATTCTGGGATAAAACAGCAATGCAACTAGATTTCTGGTGTGTAGTAGTTTTGCATTTTGTTGGGTTTGGGTTGGTTTCCCACTCTCCCCCCTTGAATGCCCATGTTTAGCTCGTTATTGATTGAGGAGAGCCTTTCAAGGCACCCAGTCCACAATTTATTTCATCACGAAGCCTCTTCTTACTTCACCCCTTAAGATGTGCTCCCGTTCCTGTTCCTAGGGGTTGAAAATGGGGCGAGGGGTGCAGTTGGAGATCTGTACAAATCATCAGGTTAGAATGAAGGCATTCTTGCACTGAAAACACTTTAATATGAGTGTAGTATTGCAAATTGTAAATAGATAGCTAGGTTTGGACAGAGTAGGTATTCCACGGGAAGCAGGGAATCTCTCCCACCGGTTTTGGTGAAGAGAGAGGCAAGCAGTGCCTACAGAAAGATTTGTGTAGGAGGAGGATGCCAGGCAGAGCGCGCATCTCAGCCTGGTGTTTAAAGGAAGCAACTAAGGCAAAACCTGGGACTAGAGAATTGTAAATGTTAAAGATTCTTGAAACAAAAGAAAAGTTTCAGTGTTACTACTTTGTGTAAGCTTTCTGCCAGGGCGGGGAATCTAGTCCTTGCCTTCTCTGAAGTGAATGGTGATGCTATCAGGGTGGAGAAGCCGCTGCCTTCTAGTTCAGGAAGGGAGCCCAAACCTTCCTAGTTAAACAACACTGTTGACAGGTCAGGTTAATGTCCAACACTCCATAGAGGGGCCATGGACTCTCAAGTCACTTCAGAGTCAGGAGAGTTGATGATCCTTGCACCCTTGCTTTGCAAAACAAATGTGAGCTCTGTAATCTTCTTTCTCACTTTGATGAAATGGTTGTGTAAATCGGATTACATGCAATAATTCCATTGAAAACTAGAAAGAGGTCAATCTAGCCTGAAAGGCTTTGGCATTAGTGACTCAGTGCTGCTGACCAGGACATTTGAGACAGCTAAGTATTTTAGAAATGTGACCTGTTTTGACCAAGTTAAAGTGCAAGCCCTTTGGGGGAACTTGGTGATGTTAAAAGGGCTTGCAGGGCGAAGGAGGGCAGTGCCCTTGTTGAATGAAAGCATTCATTCCCTGGCATCTAGTGACCGTCAAGGTTTCCCTTAAGGAATATTCCTAGCAAGTCTACATTCCTTCAGTTGGAAAAGAGGACACTGGCCATACCATGAACTCAAGAAAATGAAAATGGCAATAGGGGATTAGATTCTCTTTCATACAGTAAAATTTTCAAATTCGAGAGTTACAAAGGAATTTTCTGTGCAGCACTGCAATGATGTCGTTTACAAATGTCAGCCACCAAGAAGGAACAGCAGTTGTTCTGAGTCTCCTGTTAATGTCTTTCCCAGCAAAGATCATCCCCTAATAGTCAAGACATTTGCATCATTTGTAAAGACAACCTCAGTTTTGTATCAAAAGGAAACTGGTTCCATACCCAAGGTGTGAAATAGAATCACATTTAAAAACACTAGCTTGAACCTCTCAGCTCTTCAGCGTTGATGGGGACACTGAGCCTTCTGGCCTTTCAGTCAAGCTAAATTAGTGTGAAAGTTCCATCCACAACCACTTGGGGTTGATTAATGATGCTTTCATTTATGTAGCACGTGTGATGAACTTCAGTATTTGTAAAATGATTACATGGGCAGTCATCTGGAGAGCAATTGAATCAGTACTTTTTATCACAAGTTTGCAGAAATAAACATGCTTTACATTTTTAAGATTTAGCATTGTATTTTACCATTATTGGCAGGTTTTGCAGATTCCAAAGAAAATATGATCCTGGCTTGGAAAGACCAGATCTTTCAATCAACTTTTAATGCATAATGCTCTGACATACCGGCGTATTGAATAACAATAGGGGCAACATATTTTGCAGTAACAATTATGTACTATTGGTTTAATGGACCTGGCACTATGTTTCTTGGTATTGTAGTTATATTTTAGTTTGGAGATGGTTTATTGGAATTTCCATGAGTGTTGTTGATTTCAGGAATACTGAAGCAGGAACGATTACAGTAAAAACAGCTATTTTTAGGGATACATTATCTTTTAGAAGAGAAGCAGATAGAATGGTGGTTCATTTTCTTTATGCCAAGTAAAATTTGCTTTTTTTTTTTTTTTGTCTGTATGGGGTTTGCCATGTGGCTGAAGATGCAAGCTCATTTTATAGGGAAAAATGAACATATTTAAGAAAAGAGCATTTTATAAATCATGTCCTTAAACTCACTGTGCATTGAATAATTTTAATTTATGTTGCTTTTAATTGGTCTATTCTGCCAAGATTCTAAAACCCAAGTGCTAAATTGACTACATTTAACATAAAACAAGGAAAATAACCATATGGAAATCTCAATACTTGGGCCAAGCCAATTAAAATTGCTAAGTTTTTATTTGTGTCTAACTGCTGATTTGAAGATTGCAAATTATGACTCACATTTGTTTCTAAATGATAGGTGATTGAAATCTTTCCATAATTATATATAACATTAGAGAAAGAAAAAAAAAATCTTTGCCAAGGAGCTAGTCTGAACATTGAGGTTGCTTGCATGGTCCTGCACACATAGAACCCTATTCTATTTATTCTTCTCTTTCCAGGTCTGGGGAGTGTATCAGATGTGGTGGAAGGATTGTAGGTTCCTAGTCTTAAAAACAAATGGGATAACTCTTAACAATCACAGCCTCTGAAGCCTATACTCTAGAGCTTGAAATTCTAATTCCTGTTGCTCCACCTGTGAGATAAATGACCTTAGGCATATGGTTAAACGGCTTGGCATTTCCGTTTTGTAATCTGTACCACAAGAGTTATACAAAATGTAATCTGTACAAAAGAGTTATACAAGAGTTTTCTCACATACTGCTTGTGAAGACTAAATGAGATTTTATATATGTCTTTATCCCAGCATGGTGCCTTGCTTATTTACAGTCTGGATTTATTGTTCCTGAGGAGAGAATTGCCTGCCTGCTAACTTTACAAGCTAGAGAAAACGGGCTACTGCAGATGAATGATGCTTAGTAAGCAAAATGCAGAAACCATGGATTTCTAAATCCAGATCTGCCATTGAATCAGTACCTCCTGTTCTCTCTCACCTGATACCTGTTTATTGACTGCAATTAACGCACCAAACTGGGAATGTGTGAAAATGAAGGTAGATAACATACCTGGATGTTGGAGCAGGAGAGATATTAAATTCTTTTTTGGTTTGGTGTTTTGTTTTTTTTGTTTTTTAGCTCAAAAATGAAAGAACAAGAGAAACTCAGCTGAAAACAAATATTATCACTGATTTAGTTCTGTATTTCCATTCCTTTGCTTTGTGAGATCCCCCTTGTGGAATTATCAGAGTGTTTCTTTTTCCTTTTCATAGAAACACTGGTCAGCTTCCTATCACCAGCCTCTGCACTCTCTCTTCTGTGAGTGAGGCCATGCATTCATTTGTGCAGGTTTCTTTGTTGTCTTTACTAGGCAACATGCAGTGACATTTTTTTTTACCCTTATGCAACTTTTTTTTTCTTCTCTTCCTTTGATTACCTTAACGTTCACTTTTATAAATTAGGGTAAGACACTTGGACATAGATCTCTCAGGAGTGATCTTTTATCTTTTTTTTCCCCCCTAGTACACGAGTCAAGAACTGCTGAAGGAGACTCTTTTTAGTGTTCATCACCTGTGCAGCCAGGACAACTTATAAAACACATTGAGGGAGCTCCAAGATGCTCTTAAAGTCTAGGTGGTTTTCAGGGTTGTTTTGTATAGACTTAGTCTCCAAAGAACTAGTGGAGGTAGCCAGGATGATTTATTGGTGCAGCAGGAAGTGTTGCTTGTCACTTAATTACATGTGCACTAAAGTCCGTTTGCAAGGGATGAGAGCTTTAGAGCCTTGACCTTATCCCATTTCTATGCCTTTCTGTCCAGAGAGAAAGGAGGTGGAGGGCATGATTTTCTCATAATTAGGTCTCATGGTTCTTTTTTTAAAATCATAATGTGTGTCATCTAAATGAAGACTGTTTTTTATCTCTCTCTTTCTCTCTTTGTCCTTTGGCTGCATTTTACCATTTTTCTAGGCTGTCACATTGGTCTGACTATTAGAGGCTGGAGTTCTTTTATTAACCCAGATACTAAGTCGTGTGACTTTGAGAAGGTACTTGAACCTCTCTG